CATGATGGTTCAAAAGATTAGATGCAGATTCGACGCAATTTCCGACTGCATGAAAGCACAGCATTCTTTGTTATGATAAGTGAAATTACCGCCAAAAAATCGGCTAATTTCCGCTTTATTTCGATTTCAAAAGAATCTCACAGATCTTTTGATGCATAAAATTGAAATTTCTTTGTCTCGGAGGTTGATGGCACAACAGCAGCTTAATGCATCCTGTGTCTATATCGAAAAAAAGCAGATGATCTTACAAAAAGATTCAGAATAGGATATCAGGTCCCCACAAACAAATTCTTTTCCTCCAAATTACAACTAATGAGCACTATGCGGGGACAAATTTCTTTCATTAGTAATAGGGCATCACTGCGCCAGCAACTAATCCTTCTTTCTTTCCAAGTCTATGATTAATCTATACAACGAACCTCTCCTGTCTTTGCCCCAGTGTTTTCTTTGTTCCGTTGTGCCCAATCGGAACACTCGCGATGCGATCTAAATGAGCAGCAATTAAGAACACGCACATAGAATACTACGGCATTAGAACCATTTTCAGAGCCAAAGATCAAAATCGGAAGAGCATAAGCGAAACTCACTCGCTTGGATTCACAGCTCCTACGCCATGTACAAATGAGCATAAGGCATGTGTATGAGTAAGAATCACTACCGCTTGAGCCAAATCGTGGATAGACCAATGTGATTGCGCATCGCCTTGCACCAAACCCTACAAAGAATTGCGAAAGGCATATTAGCCCGTCAGAGGATTTGGTGAGCAACCCAAAAAGGGCAATTTACCGTGATGTACTCTCCATTACACAACCATGGTTGATGTGCCAGCACCACATTGATATTGTCAAGGAATTGCAGTTTTGGATCATCAACGTATTTCAGCCCTCGCAACCACTTCGGATCGCCTCCGTAACGTTCAAATTCTCGTTCGTGAAGATCTATGAGGTATGAACAACGATGTCGGGTTGCTGCCTAAAAAGGTTGGAAAACTAGTTGAGCCT